TGTTACTGAGGGACACAGATTTGTTACTGAGGGCCACAGAAACGTTACTTAGGGCCACAGAAACGTTACTTAGGGCCACAGAATCGTTACTTAGGGCCACAGAAACGTTACTTAGGGCCACAGAAACTTTACTTAGGGCCACAGAATTGTTACTTAGGGACACAGAATTGTTACTCAGGGACAGACACAGATTGTTACTGAGGGAAACAGAATTGTTACTGAGGGACACAGAAACGTTACTTAGGGCCACAGAAACGTTACTTAGGGCCACAGAATTGTTACTAGGGACAGACACAGAATTGTTACTGAGGGACACAGAATTGTTACTTAGGGCCACAGAACCGTTACTTAGGGCCACAGAATTGTTACTCAGGGACAGACACAGAATTGTTACTGAGGGACACAGAATTGTTACTGAGGGACACAGAATTGTTACTGAGGGCCACAGAACTGTTACTTAGGGCCACAGAAACGTTACTCAGGGACACAGAATTGTTACTCAGGGACAGACACAGAATTGTTACTCAGGGACACAGAATTGTTTAATTAAAGAGTATGTCAGACAACATGCAGAGGAGTGGCAGAGGAGGCAATGTTTTAGGAGCGAGCAGACGTGGCAGCAGAGGAAGGGGTCGAGGCAGCACTATTCGCAGCCAGAGGCCAGTGCTCCCGGTGTCATCCAGCGGTCGTGTCTCCACCGACAACCCTGCCGTCATCGATTGGTTGGCTCGGTCGTCTTCCTCTTCCCAGGTCACCTCTGACACCTACAGCCAACGGTCGGTGGGTACGTCAGACACAACCGTTAGTTGGCATGGCCCGGGAGCAAGCCCACTGAAATCACGTGTCCTCTACCTGCCCCTGTCCTTTGGTGTTCCCTCACCAAGCGAAGTATCGCATGCTGTGGGCTCAGCCCCACTGTACAGTGAGGAAGAGCTAACAGAGGGCGGTCAGGAACGGGGGGAGACATCCGCCTCTTCAGCAGCCAGGCGAAGAAGTAGTGGCGAGGAGAGTGGCTCGGTAGCCGGTCTAGAGACAGGTCTGTCTCCTGACCCACACGCAGCCGAGGGGGCTAGTAGTGAGGCGGAGACCCTAATTGATGATGATGAGCTGATCGCACTTGGCAGCCTCGTCGTCATCAGGCTATTGCTTCCGCATCATCAGGAGAAGAGGGTGGCAGCTTGGCAGCGAGCAAAACAGTCGGTGGGTTGCCCAGGAGGCAGCAGGGTCGCAGCAGTGTCAGTGGAGGCAAACGGCCACGGAGTACAGCACCAGCTCCACTGCAGCCTACCACCACCACGGCCAGTAGTGGTGCCGGTGTGCACGAGGAAGCAGCAGTCAGCCAGTGAGGAGTATCGGGGGCAAAGTTTCCTACTCGGCGGTGTGGCAATTTTTTGTCAAGCCGCCCGAGGAAGTAAACGTAGCCGTATGTCGACTATGTGGCCAGAAAGTCAAGCGTGGCCAGGGGGGCCCATGTTGGGACTACAGCGTTGCGGCAGCATATGCAGCGTCGCCATTTGGTGGCCTGGGAAAACCGTGATAAAGATACGGCGGTTCTGCCGCCCCCCCAGCCCCGCTCCATCACCCGCTCCGTTACTTGCTCCGTCACCCGACGTCAATCGCCCTCTATCAGCCAGTCAAGGCTCCAACACCTCTGCTGAGGGGAGTTGTCGCTCGTTGCCATCTTCCGCTCGTTCAGATGCTCCTTCTCCTGCTACTCCTTCTCCTGCTACTCCTCTTCACGGATTCCGTCAGCAGTCTTTCTTGGAATCCGTTTCCAAGAGACAACAGTTTGCGAGCACGCACCCGACGGTGCAAAAGCTGAACGTCCTCCTGTCCAAGTTGCTGGTGCTGCAGTCCCTCCCTTTCCAAGTGGTGGACTCAGCACCTTTCCGAGAAATGATGGCTTGTGCCGCGCCGCGGTGGAGAGTGCCAAGCCGTCATTTCTTCGCCAAAAAGGCAGTGCCAGCCCTGCATTCACATGTAGAAGAGATGGTGGGCCAGTCTTTGAGCATGTCGGTCTCTGCCAAAGTGCACGGCAGCGCCGCCGACGTGTGGAGCTGTAACTACGGTCAGGGACAGTACATGTCATTTACGGCCCACTGGGTGAACGTGGTGCCGTCACAGCCGCACCAGCAACTTGGACAGGTCACGCCGCTTTTGCCTCCACGTTTGCACGTCCTTGGTCCACAAAAGATGTCCGCCTCTACCACCTCTTCTTCCTTCGTGTCCTCAGCCGCCACCCCCCCGTGCCAAGTCCCATTACCCGACCGGCATATCACATGTGCAGGGCGCAACGGTGTCACGCTGTGCTGCACCTGGTATGCCTTGGCGAACGTAGTCACACAGGGGAGGAACTTCTCAGTGTAATGAACAGAGAAATCGACAGATGGCTGTCTCCGCGCAAACTGAAAATCGGAACCATGTTGACCGACAACGGAAAGAACATGGTGTCTGCTCTGCGTCAAGGAAGGTTGTGCCATGCGCCATGCATGGCTCACGTGTTCAATCTGGTTGTCAAGCGGTTCCTAAAATCCACCATCCCACTGCAAGACATCCTTAAAATGTCACGTAAACTTTGCATGCATTTCAGCCATTCCTACACCGCAAAGCACACCCTCCTTGAGCTGCAGCGGCAGAACGGAATTCCACAGCATCGCCTGATCTGCGACGTTGCAACAAGGTGGAATTCAACCCTACACATGTTAGACCGCCTTTACGAACAGCGAAAGGCCATCACCGATTTCCTGATGTTACAAGCGGATAAAGGTACTCCCCTGTGTAACTTCGATGTCAGCCATTGGCAGCTCATGCGTGACACCTGCCGCTTGCTCAGGCCCTTTGAGGAGGCCACGCTATTCGTGAGTCGGCAGGACTATGGGATGAACGACGTCATTCCTCTGTTGCACGTCCTGGAACAAATGCTGTTAACAATGGCTGGTCAGGGTGCGGTAGACGTGGCGCACAGATCTCAACGCCACATGACCCCTGTGGGGGCAGGACAGGAAGAAGAGGAGGAGGAGGTAGAGGAGGACATTTGTGCTCAGGAATTATTGAGTGAAATGGGTGGTTTTTCCACTCAGCGGACAGGAGTGGAGGAGCAGGAGCATCTGGTAGAGGAGGAGGAGGAGGAGGAGACAGAGGACCCAGACGCACCGTGGCAGTATGCTGTGGAGATGGAGGCAGGGAGTCCCTCGCATTCCTTGGCACAAATGGCCCATAGCATGCTCGGTTGCTTGCGTAGCGACAGCCGAATAATAACCATCAGACAGAGGGATGACTTTTGGCTGTCCACCTTGTTTGGACCCTCGCTACCGTTCAAAAAATGGTGGCCTTTTTTTCACACCTGCTGAGAGGGAGGCCAAAATAAAGTACTATAAAAACCACCTATGTAGTCAGTTGGTCTCTGCCTTTGTGCGCCAACGTCCATCCTCAGACACTGTGGGCCCTGTGCGCTCGCGTTCCGCTGCCATGGCAGCAGGGAGGGGGGGGTGGGGTGGTAGGAGCAGTGGTAGCTCCACCAGCAGCGGCTGCCTCAGTCTGCAGTCGATGATGAGTAGCTTTCTTCACCAGCGCAGTGAGGAAACTACTAACCAGCCGCAGCAGCAGCAGCATCAGGTGGACCTGGAGCAGGACCTCAAACAACAGGCTTAGGCCTACTTGGACAGCACCCTGCCAACCGAGGTAGACAATCCCCTTGACTACTGGGCAACGAAACTTGACCTTTGGCCCCAACTAGCTGAATTTGCCCTTGAAAGGCTGTCATGCCCGGCCAGTAGCGTGGCATCGGAGCGCGTGTTTAGTGCGGCAGGAGGTATTGTAACTCCGCGGAGGACACGACTGTCCACCCAAAGTGTGGAGAGACTCACGTTTGTGAAAATGAATCAGGCGTGGATTAGTCTGGATTTCAAACCACCATACATCCTAACATCACAAACTGACTAAATGTGCCATAAAAGTCCCCAATCTTAAAAACAAAAAATCCTCCAGTGAAAATAATCCATAAATTTCGTGCATATAAGTGATTATAGAAAAAATATGTGCCAGGCCCCAACACCCCAAACAAAAATTCGCCTCCTAAACATATAAGGTCCACCGTGCTTTATCCATCACCAAATGAATGGAATAAACTCACCAGAGCTCAATGCTCCATAGATTATAAATCAGCCCAATGTGCCACTTTTGCTCTGGGAGCGATGAGAGTAGGTAGATCATGAAGCAGCACTCTATAGTATAGACACTTCCAGATATCAGGAACAATACTCTGCAGTGACTTTTGAGGTATGGCCAAGACTCCTTATATAACGATCCTCCTCCAAATATATAGTAATATCACTCCAAAGAAAAGGCATGATGGTGCAGCAAGTAAGAACCATTAAAACTTTTTATTGCAATTTCATCTTGCTCACAAAATAAAGTGTCCACCTGACACTGGTATAGCAAGCGATCAATACACGGAATGGACGAGCCCCGTTCACCGCGGACACCTCGCCGACAGCTCCAGGGAACGTCCTGACGTCATCCAATAGGCTCCGCCCCTCATGCTTTTCGTCACTCTGAGTCCTCACGGAGCGGCAGATGGATTAGTCCTGGATTTCAAACGGCCCAGTTCCTGACACAACTGACTAAATCCGCCACATCATGCCCCAAACATGTGCCACTTTCAGGTCTCCTCACACTGCTGGTGTGTTCCATTTTTTGTCATAGGTGCTGGCAGATTACGGGCCTCCCATAGCTGCTGCCAGGCCCCTAATCTGCCATGGGCCCCTATACCGCCTCCTCATGCTGCTGCTGCAAGTCCAGTCCAGAGTCTCTCATGGGTCCCTGTACGGCCTCCCATTGCTGCTGTCTCCATCGCCACACTCTGCCATGTGCCACTTTCAGGTCTCCTCACACACTGCTGGTGTGTTCAATTTTTTGACATAGGGTGCTGGCAGATTACGGGCCTCCCATAGCTGCTGCCAGGCCCCTAATCTGCCATGGGCCCCTATACCGCCTCCTCATCATGCTGCTGCCAAGTCCAGAGTCTCTCATGGGTCCCTGTACGGCCTCCCATTGCTGCTGTCTCCATCGCCACACTCTGCCATGTGCCACTTTCAGGTCTCCTCACACACTGCTGGTGTGTTCAATTTTTTGACATAGGGTGCTGGCAGATTACGGGCCTCCCATAGCTGCTGCCAGGCCCCTAATCTGCCATGGGCCCCTATATACCGCCTCCTCATGCTGCTGCCAAGTCCAGAGTCTCTCTCATGGGTCCCTGTACGGCCTCCCATTGCTGCTGTCTCCATCGCCACACTCTTCCATGTGCCACTTTCAGGTCTCCTCACACACTGCTGGTGTGTTCAATTTTTTGACATAGGGTGCTGGCAGATTACGGGCCTCCCATAGCTGCTGCCAGGCCCCTAATCTGCCATGGGCCCCTATACCGCCTCCTCATGCTGCTGCTGCCAAGTCCAGAGTCTCTCATGGGTCCCTGTACGGCCTCCCATTGCTGCTGTCTCCATCGCCACACTCTGCCATGTGCCACTTTCAGGTCTCCTCACACTGCTGGTGTGTTCAATTTTTTGACATAGGGTGCTGGCAGATTACGGGCCTCCCATAGCTGCTGCCAGGCCCCTAATCTGCCATGGGCCCCTATACCGCGTCCTCATGCTGCTGCCAAGTCCAGAGTCTCTCATGGGTCCCTGTACGGCCTCCCATTGCTGCTGTCTCCATCGCCACACTCTGCCATGTGCCACTTTCAGGTCTCCTCACACTGCTGGTGTGTTCAATTTTTTTGACATAGGGTGCTGGCAGATTACGGGCCTCCCATAGCTGCTGCCAGGCCCCTAATCTGCCATGGGCCCCTATATACCGCCTCCTCATGCTGCTGCCAAGTCCAGAGTCTCTCATGGGTCCCTGTACCGGCCTCCCATTGCTGCTGTCTCCATCCCACACTCTGCCATGTGCCACTTTCAGGTCTCCTCACACACTGCTGGTGTGTTCAATTTTTTGACATAGGGTGCTGGCAGATTACGGGCCTCCCATAGCTGCTGCCAGGCCCCTAATCTGCCATGGGCCCCTATACCGCCTCCTCATGCTGCTGCCAAGTCCAGAGTTTCTCATGGGTCCCTGTACGGCCTCCCATTGCTGCTGTCTCCATCGCCACACTCTGCCATGTGCCACTTTCAGGTCTCCTCACACACTGCTGGTGTGTTCAATTTTTTGACATAGGGTGCTGGCAGATTACGGGCCTCCCATAGCTGCTGCCAGGCCCCTAATCTGCCATGGGCCCCCCCTATACCGCCTCCTCATGCTGCTGCCAAGTCCAGAGTCTGTCATGGGTCCCTGTACGGCCTCCCATTGCTGCTGTCTCCATCGCCCACACTCTGCCATGTGCCACTTTCAGGTCTCCTCACACACTGCTGGTGTGTTCAATTTTTTGACATAGGGTGCTGGCAGATTACGGGCCTCCCATAGCTGCTGCCAGGCCCCTAATCTGCCATGGGCCCCTACCGCCTCCCATGCCGCCAAGGTCCGCCTCCTCTCATGCTGCTGCCAAGTCCAGAGTCTCTCATGGGTCCCTGTACGGCCTCCCATTGCTGCTGTCTCCATCGCCACACTCTGCCATGTGCCACTTTCAGGTCTCCTCACACACTGCTGGTGTGTTCAATTTTTTGACATAGGGTGCTGGCAGATTACGGGCCTTCCATAGCTGCTGCCAGGCCCATAATCTGCCATGGGCCCCTGTACCGCCTCCTCATGCTGCTGCCAGGTCCACAGTGTCTCATGCCATGTGCCACTTTCAGGTCTCCTCACACTGCTGGTGTGTTCAATTTTTTGACATAGGGTGCTGGCAGATTACGGGCCTCCCATAGCTGCTGCCAGGCCCCTAATCTGCCATGGGCCCCTATACCGCCTCCTCATGCTGCTGCCAAGTCCAGAGTCTCTCATGGGTCCCTGTACGGCCTCCCATTGCTGCTGTCTCCATCGCCACACTCTGCCATGTGCCACTTTCAGGTCTCCTCACACACTGCTGGTGTGTTCAATTTTTTGACATAGGGTGCTGGCAGATTACGGGCCTCCCATAGCTGCTGCCAGGCCCCTAATCTGCCATGGGCCCCTATACCGCCTCCTCATGCTGCTGCCAGGTCCACAGTGTCTCATGCCATGTGCCACTTTCAGGTCTCCTCACACTGCTGGTGTGTTCAATTTTTTGACATAGGGTGCTGGCAGATTACGGGCCTCCCATAGCTGCTGCCAGGCCCCTAATCTGCCATGGGCCCCTATTCCGCCTCCTCATGCTGCTGCCAAGTCCAGAGTCTGTCATGGGTCCCTGTACGCCTCCCATTGCTGCTGTCTCCATCGCCACACTCTCATCATGCCATGTGCCACTTTCAGGTCTCCTCACACACTGCTGGTGTGTTCCATTTTTTGTCATAGGGTGCTGGCAGATTTACGGGCCTCCCATTGCTGCTGCCAGGCCCGTAATCTGCCATGGGCCCCTGTACCGCCTCTTCATGCTGCTGCCAGGTCCAGAGTGTGTCATGGGTCCCTGTACGGCCTCCCATTGCTGCTGTCTCCATCGCCACACTCTGCCATGTGCCACTTTCAGATCTCTCCTCACACTGCTGGTGTGTTACATTTTTTGTCATAGGGTGCTGGCAGATTACGGGCCTCCCATTGCTGCTGCCAGGCCCGTAATCTGCCATGGGCCCCCGTACCGACTCCTCATGCTGTGACGTTGTAACAAGGTGGAATTCAACCCTACATATGTTAGACCGCCTTTACGAACATTGCAAAAGGCCATCACAGATTTCCTGATGTTAAAAGCGGATAAAGGTACTCCCTGTGTAACTTAGATGTCAGCCATTGGCAGCTCATGCGTGACACCTGCGCTTGCTCAGGCCCTTTGAGGAGGCCACGCTATTCGTGAGTCGGCAGGACTATGGGATGAACGACGTCATTACTCTGTTGCACGTCCTGGAACAAATGCTGTTAACAATGGCTGGTCAGGGTGCGGTAGACGTGGCGCACAGATCTCAACGCCACATGACCCCTGTGGGGGCAGGACAGGAAGAAGAGGAGGAGGTAGAGGAGGACATTGGTGCTCAGGAATTATTGAGTGAAATGGGTGGTTTTTCCACTCAGCGGACAGGAGTGGAGGAGCAGGAGCATCTGGTAGAGGAGGAGGAAGAGGAGACAGAGGACCCAGACGCACCGTGGCAGTATGCTGTGGAGATGGAGGCAGGGCGTCCCTCGCATTCCTTGCACAAATGGCCCATAGCATGCTCGCTTGCTTGCGTACCGACAGCCGAATAATAACCATCAGACAGAGGGATGACTTTTGGCTGTCCACCTTGTTGGACCCTCGCTACCACCGTTCAAAAATGGTGGGCCATTTTCTCACACCTGCTGAGAGGGAGGCCAAAATAACGTACTATAAAAACCACCTATGTAGTCAGCTGGTCTCTGTCTGTCTGTCTGCGCCAATGTCCATCCTCAGACACTGTGGGCCCTGTGCGCTGTCGCGTTCCGCTGCCATGGCAGCAGGGAATGCGAGGGGAATGCGAGGGGTGGGGTGGTAGGAGCAGTGGCAGCTCCACCAGCAGCAGCAGCTGCCTCAGTCTGCAGTCGATGATGAGTAGCTTTCTTCACCAGCGCAGTGAGGAAACTACTAAACCAGCCGCAGCAGCAGCAGCAGCATCAGGTGGACCTGGAGCAGGACCTCAAACAACAGGCTTAGGCCTACTTGGACAGCACCCTGCCAACCGAGGTAGACAATCCCCTTGACTACTGGGCAACGAAACTTGACCTTTGGCCCCCAACTAGCTGAATTTGCCCTTGAAAGGCTGTCATGCCCGGCCAGTAGCGTGGCATCGGAGCGCGTGTGTTTAGTGCGGCAGGAGGTATTGCAACTCCGCGGAGGACACGACTGTCCACCCAAAGTGTGAGAGACTCACGTTTGTGAAAATGAATCAGGCGTGGATTAGTCCCTGGATTTCAAACCACCAGTTCCTGACACAACTGACTAAATCCGCCATGAATCATGCCCCAAACATGTGCCACTTTCAGGTCTCCTCACACTGCTGGTGTGTGTTCCATTTTTTGTCATAGGGTGCTGGCAGATTACGGGCCTCCCATAGCTGCTGCCAGGCCCCTAATCTGCCATGGGCCCCCTATATACCGCCTCCTCATGCTGCTGCCAGTCCAGAGTCTGTCATGGGTCCCTGTACGGCCTCCCATTGCTGCTGTCTCCATTGCCACACTCTGCCATGTGCCACTTTCAGGTCTCCTCACACACTGCTGGTGTGTTCCATTTTTGTCATATAGGTGCTGGCAGATTACGGGCCTCCCATAGCTGCTGCCAGGCCCCTAATCTGCCATGGGCCCCTATACCGCCTCCCATGCTGCTGCCACATCCTCTGCCTGCCCTCCACAGTGTCCATGCCATGTGCCACTTTCAGGTCTCCTCACACTGCTGGTGTGTTCAATTTTTTGACATAGGGTGCTGGCAGATTACGGGCCTCCCATAGCTGCTGCCAGCCAGGCCCCCTAATCTGCCATGGGCCCCTACCGCCTCCTCCTCATGCTGCCAAGTCCAGAGTCTGTCATGGGTCCCCTGTACGGCCTCCCATTGCTGCTGTCTCCATCGCCACACTCATGCCATGTGCCACTTTCAGGTCTCCTCACACACTGCTGGTGTGTTCCATTTTTTGTCATAGGGTGCTGGCAGATTACGGGCCTCCCATTGCTGCTGCCAGGCCCGTAATCTGCCATGGGCCCCTGTACCGCCTCTTCATGCTGCTGCCAGGTCCAGAGTGTGTCATGGGTCCCTGTACGGCCTCCCATTGCTGCTGTCTCCATCGCCACACTCTGCCATGTGCCACTTTCAGATCTCCTCACACTGCTGGTGTGTTACATTTTTTGTCATAGGGTGCTGGCAGATTACGGGCCTCCCATTGCTGCTGCCAGGCCCGTAATCTGCCATGGGCCCCCGTACCGACTCCTCATGCTGTGACGTTGTAACAAGGTGGAATTCAACCCTACATATGTTAGACCGCCTTTACGAACAGCAAAAGGCCATCACAGATTTCCTGATGTTAAAAGCGGATAAAGGTACTCCCTGTGTAACTTAGATGTCAGCCATTGGCAGCTCATGCGTGACACCTGCGCTTGCTCAGGCCCTTTGAGGAGGCCACGCTATTCGTGAGTCGGCAGGACTATATGGGATGAACGACGTCATTACTCTGTTGCACGTCCTGGAACAAATGCTGTTAACAATGGCTGGTCAGGGTGCGGTAGACGTGGCGCACAGATCTCAACGCCACATGACCCCTGTGGGGGCAGGACAGGAAGAAGAGGAGGAGGTAGAGGAGGACATTGGTGCTCAGGAATTATTGAGTGAAATGGGTGGTTTTTCCACTCAGCGGACAGGAGTGGAGGAGCAGGAGCATCTGGTAGAGGAGGAGGAAGAGGAGACAGAGGACCCAGACGCACCGTGGCAGTATGCTGTGGAGATGGAGGCAGGGCGTCCCTCGCATTCCTTGGCACAAATGGCCCATAGCATGCTCGCTTGCTTGCGTACCGACAGCCGAATAATAACCATCAGACAGAGGGATGACTTTTGGCTGTCCACCTTGTTGGACCCTCGCTACTGTTCAAAAAAAATGGTGGCCTTTTTCACACCTGCTGAGAGGGAGGCCAAAATAACGTACTATAAAAAACCACCTATGTAGTCAGCTGGGTCTCTGTCTGTCTGCGCCAACGTCCATCCTCAGACACTGTGGGCCCTGTGCGCTCGCGTTCCGCTGCCATGGCAGCAGGGAGGGGTGGGGTGGTAGGAGCAGTGGCAGCTCCACCAGCAGCAGCTGCCTCAGTCTGCAGTCGATGATGAGTAGCTTTTCTTCACCAGCGCAGTGAGGAAACTACTAACCAGCCGCAGCAGCAGCAGCAGCATCAGGTGGACCTGGAGCAGGACCTCAAAACAACAGGCTTAGGCCTACTTGGACAGCACCCTGCCAACCGAGGTAGACAATCCCCTTGACTACTGGGCAACGAAACTTGACCTTTGGCCCCAACTAGCTGAATTTGCCCTTGAAAGGCTGTCATGCCCGGCCAGTAGCGTGGCATCGGAGCGCGTGTTTAGTGCGGCAGGAGGTATTGCAACTCCGCGGAGGACACGACTGTCCCACCCAAAGTGTGAGAGAGACTCACGTTTGTGAAAATGAATCAGGCGTGGATTAGTCTGGATTTCAAACCACCAGTTCCTGACACAACTGACTAAATCCGCCATGAATCATGCCCCAAACATGTGCCACTTTCAGGTCTCCTCACACTGCTGGTGTGTGTTCCATTTTTTGTCATAGGGTGCTGGCAGATTACGGGCCTCCCATAGCTGCTGCTGCCAGGCCCCTAATCTGCCATGGGCCCCTATACCGCCTCCTCATGCTGCTGCCAAGTCCAGAGTCTGTCATGGGTCCCTGTACGGCCTCCCATTGCTGCTGCTGTCTCCATTGCCACACTCTGCCATGTGCCACTTTCAGGTCTCCTCACACTGCTGGTGTGTTCCATTTTTTGTCATAGGGTGCTGGCAGATTACGGGCCTCCCATAGCTGCTGCCAGGCCCCTAATCTGCCATGGGCCCCTATACCGCCTCCTCATGCTGCTGCCAGGTCCAGAGTGTGTCATGGGTCCCTGTACGGCCTCCCATTGCTGCTGTCTCCATCGCCACACTCTGCCATGTGCCACTTTCAGGTCTCCTCACACTGCTGGTGTGTTCCATTTTTTGTCATAGGGTGCTGGCAGATTATGGGCCTCCCATAGCTGCTGCCAGGCCCCTAATCTGCCATGGGCCCCCGTACCGACTCCTCATGCTGCTGCCATGCCCGTAATCTGTCATGGGCCCCTGTACCGCCTCCTCATGCTGCTGCCAGGTCCAGAGTGTGTCATGGGTCCCTGTACGGCCTCCCATTGCTGCTGTCTCCATCGCCACACTCTGCCATGTGCCACTTTCAGGTCTCCTCACACTGCTGGTGTGTTCCATTTTTTGTCATAGGGTGCTGGCAGATTATGGCCTCCCATAGCTGCTGCCAGGCCCCTAATCTGCCATGGGCCCCCGTACCGACTCCTCATGCTGCTGCCATGCCCGTAATCTGTCATGGGCCCCTGTACCGCCTCCTCATGCTGCTGCCAGGTCCAGAGTGTGTCATGGGTCCCTGTACGGCCTCCCATTGCTGCTGTCTCCATCGCCACACTCTGCCATGTGCCACTTTCAGGTCTCCTCACACTGCTGGTGGTTTCCATTTTTGTCATAGGGTGCTGTATGGCCTCCCATTGCTGCTGCCTCCACCGCCACACTGTGGCTCCACACTCTGGTTTTGGCCCCGTGACTGCCCAAATGAGTGAAGTGTGCGGTGATTCTAAGATCGACGGCACTCATCTGCATGTCATACTGACTGTCAGTATTATTTCTCTTCCCCAGCAGACTCCAAGGGCATTTAAATTAAAGGTACAGTGTTCTGCACTAATATAAAGGCTCTCTGAAGCCTAGAAACACCCTTTTATAAGTTAAATTCGCAGCGAATATATTCGACCGAATCGAAATTTTTCCACGAATTCGCCGAATATGTCGAATCGAATTTTTGAATACTTCGCTCATCTCTAATTGCCACACTGAGTCTGGTGGGCAGTCAGACTGAAAAAGACTGTTTGTCCACTCTGGGTCAGTACAGCTAGAACCAGTGAATAAAATAGTATGTCAATTTGTCACTTTATTATTCTATCAGTTTGTTTACGATGTTTCAATCCAGAGTGGGTGAACGTAAACAGTATAATATGTACTAAATGTTCAAGGATGCAGCAAGACACTGAGACTCTTAAAATGTGCTACTGACAGTCAGTAACAGGATATGTTAGTGGGTTTATAAGGCCCCTGGAAGTGTTGCTATCTATATTAGTTTTGCAGCAAAGAAAAAAAAAAGTAAAATCCTGACTGAGACTCAATCAACCAGAGTACTGTATTGTACTGAACTATATGAATACTAATATAAAAAATATAAAGAGTGTAGAAAAACAAAAAAATATAAGACTGTATTAAGTTAACCAATTTATTACACTTATGTTGCTATATATTGAAGTTAAAACTTGGCAAAGATATTAAAATATCTCCCCAACGTCTTCTCCTGTACTTGTATAAAACATGCTAAGCTCAGACACAAGATTTAAGACTAAAGGATAAGTTCACCTTTAAGGAAAAATAATAAATGCACATAATTTTACGTGTGCAATGTGCACCTGATCTGGGATCAAATGGATTGTGGGTGTAATGTCATGCTCCTGCACATTCTGATCCAGCTTTCTGTCTGTACCTAACTATTGGCTTTCAGTTAGAAAGCTGGAGGAAGAGTGAATGGATTATGAGCACGCTGATCAACACATTCATAGTTTATTGAGAACTATAAGCTGTCTGCTGCGGTGGAAGATGGAATATTAAAGATTTTCAAACTTAGTATTGAATTTTCGTGTCTGAGCCTCGTATGTTGTATATGAGTATAGGATCCAACTTTCGGGAGGTATTTTAATATCGTGCCCAAGTTTTTAACTTCACTACATAGCAACTGTGTGTGTAATAAAATTGGTCAGTTGCTTTTTTTTTACCATTCTTTATATTTTTTGGTATACATATAGCTTTATACCGTGCACTACAGTGGTTGATTGAGTGTCAGTTGGGTTTTTAGGGTTTTTTCTGTTTGTTTTGGTTTTTATTCTCAATACCATAGACTCCTCCACTTATTATCAATGTATTTACACCACAATTGCTCAAAACTGATATAGTTCAGAAATATTTAGACATAATTAAGGTAAATAAAGCACACGGACCACGGATCCTAAAAGAATTGAGCTCTGTCAGTCGAAAGCCATTGTTGCTAATATTTAGAGACTGTTTAATGTCTGGCATAGTACAACGGGATTGGTGTAAGGCCAATGTGCTGCCTATATTTAAAGAGGGATCAATGTCTTTAACAAGTAACTACAGACGTGTTAGTTTAACTATAGTTGGGAAGATACTGGAGAGTTTTAATAAAAGACCACATAGACAAGTTCTTGCTGGAAAAATATATTTTAAGTAACAAACAACATAGATTCATGACAGACAGAAGTCATCAAGCAAATCAGATTTTGTTTTATGAGGAGGTAAGCAAAACCTTAGACAAAGGAATGGCTGTGGATATAATATACTTGGAATTTGCAAAAGCATTTGACACAGCTCGCTACACACGGTTGTAAGTGGTGTACCCCAAGGTTCACTGTTGAGACCCTTACTTTTTAATATATTTAAAAATGATATAGAGTCTGGAATTAAAAGTACAACTTCAATGTTTACAGATGACACCAAGCTATGCAGTGGAATAACATCCTTACAGGAAGTCTCCAACTTAGAAGCTGATTTCATGCACTGTTTAAATGGGCAACTGCACGGCAAATGAGGTTTAATTTAGATAAATGTAAAGTTATGCACCTATAGGACCTAAGAATATGCATGCATCATACATACTAGGGGGAGTACAAATGGGGGGATCGATGGTAGAAAAGGATCTGGGTGTTCTGATAGATCATAAACATCAATGCCAAGGTGAGGTTTCCAAAATGAGCAACATCCTTTCTTGTATTTAGAGGTATAGAATCTAGAGAGAGATATATCATGCTGCTCCTGTACAAATCATTAGTTACACCTCATCTGGAATATGCAGTTCAGTTTTGGGCACCAATTCACAAAAAGGGTATCGGGGAACTGGAGAAAGTACAGAGAAGGGCAACCAAACTAAGAGGCATGGAGGAGCTCAGTTATGAGGAAAATAGGTTTAATCTCGAAATGTGGAGCGGTAAGAGCGGTGAAAATGTGGAATAGACTCCTCAAGAGCTGGTTCTGGCCAGTTCAGTAGATTGTTTTAAAAATAACTGAATTCTTTCCTAAATGTACATACTATACAGTAACAGGATACTAATATTTATAGGTAAAGTCAATCCAGGGAATATCCAATTGCCTCTTGTGGGATCAGGAAACAATTTTTTTCCCTGCTGGAGCAAATTGGATCAAGCTTTACTGGGGATTTTTGCCTTCCTCTGGATCAACTGTGGGTATAGGATTGTGAATATAGATTGTATATTTTTTTCCCTTTTAATGGTTGAACTGGATGGGCGTGTGTCTTTTTTTTCAACCAGAATACCTATTTAACGATGTAACTATATTTATAATTTTTTTGGAACTGGAGGATCTCTTTTTTTATTTGTTTGGGTATGTAGCAAAACATCCTGGGCTATAATATACTGTATTGTATGTTGTACAAATATTGCAAAATTTTTCACGTAAGTCAGAGTTTTATTTTCTGTGCCCTTAAAACAGAGTAATTCCTAGCAATGAGTGATTTCGTTTGATATCTATGAACGAATCTTGTTATTCAATTCTGTGCATAGGTCTAAATATCAAACATTTGGCTGTCACTCTGCACTCCAGCCCATTCATTATCGGTGTTCATATAGGAACCAATAATGAACAAGGTGCCAGACACTGAAGTCCTCTCCAGAGCAGGCCTGCCATCAGATAACATCCTACTGATGAAAGCCCAGACACGCTGGGCAGGCCATGTTGCAAAGATGCCAGACCACCACATCCCTAAACAGCTCCTCTACAGTGAGCTGTCTCAAGGAAAGAAATCGCATGGGGGACAAAGGAAGCGATACAAAGACACATTGAAAGCCTCCTTCAAGTCCCTGGATATTGACATCACCTCCTGGGACAAGATCGATCAACATGGCACACGTTAATATGCCAAGGCTGCCAGAAATTTGAGGAGAGAATTACAACCATAGCACAAGAGAAGCAAGCACTTAGCAAAGCCAGAGCTGCAAATGCTGCAACAGTGGTGCCCACATATGTCTGCCCAACATGTGGCAGAACATTTTTGTGCTCATATAGGCCATACCAGCCACCTACAGCCACACCGTGGGTAGCCCACTACCTGTTAGATGTCAAGGTCCTCTTTGAACATGATGGACGAACATCATCATCATCAATAATAGTATAATCACTCTTTACAAGGATGATCTCCTGCTTTACATTTTCCTTCCTAAACATCAGCATTGCAAATGTCCTTCAAAAATGTTTTGGGCTTGGAGCACTTTGCAACTTCAAGGTGAACACCTCAAAATGTAACCCTACCCCACTCCCAAATAGAAAATGTAAAAACAACTTTTCCATTCAAGTGGCAGCCAAGAGTTATTTCCTTTTTTTTTAGGCATACAGATTCCCAGACTTAGATCAACTTTTCTCTCTAAACTTCAGTACCCAATTCACATGTATGTTTTCAGACCTTATAGATTGGCTCCCTCCCCATCTTGTGGTTGTGCAGAATTAATATCCTTAACATGGATATATTACCTCTTCTGCTATGTAAATTCCAAACCATTCCTATCATTTTATCTCTTGCCTACTTCCAATGTCTACATTCTGCAACCATTAAATTCATTTGGGGCAATAGCTGGCCAAGGGTTGGAGATTAAAAACTCTCACCAAAGCTGAAACTCAAGGTACCATATGGCTTCCAGATTTTACACTATACTATAAAGCATCATTTTTATCCAGGATTGAAGACTGGTTTAATTCTGAATCAGATAATATGGACATAATATTGGAAAGAGATTTCCCCTTTCACTCACTAACAGTCCTTTCATGGATAGACCCAGCACATCAGTCCTCAACTGACACACTTCCTCTACTGACTACTTCCCTCCTGCAACAGTGGTATGCTAAATTGTGTTCCTGGAAAGTGTTCTTGAGACCTGGCCCACTAATCCATATTCACTACAATAAACTGCAAATCCACCACATTCTCTAGCTAAACTCTAATCAACCCCAATTTGAACCACCATGAAGGAATGGTACCAGCTATGGCAGCTTTCTGATTATATAAAAAGACAGGACAGTAAATAAACCCCTTACAAAGTTTTTTGGGCATCTCCTCAGTAGCAGTCCCACAGACAATACAGTAGTTAGATTCAATATTGAGAGATGACCTATAGAGGAATGAAGCCATGAGTTCTAACACACTCTTTATCCATATTAAGCCATTATCATGACAAAAATTATACAATTTTATTTAAGCAGTGCACAAGCCAAACCATCCAGCAAAAGATGTCCCTATCATCTTCTGATACCTGCCGGAGATGCCAACAATATTGAAGAAGCTATCTCCACACCTGGTTCAAATCCAGCCTTTCTGGCATTCCATTCTCAGGTATACAATTCCTGAAAAAAATGTAATCAACCAATTATAAAGCCACACCAAAACTAGATCTAATCTCTGTGCTTCTGGACTCTCTGCAATCCATAAAAAGAGATAAATTAAGGCACTGTCTAGTAGTGGCTCATAGCACAATTTCCAGGCACTGCAAAAAGGCTACTATACCACCAAAATCCTCCTGGGCCACAACCATGAGCAACCTGATACATACATAGCCTGATATCAAGAGATA